CCTTGTCCCCGAGCAAGCCGGGCAGGACTAACGCGACACAAAAGCGTAGGGCCACCTCCATGCAAGATTTCCAGACGCCGTCGGCCGGGAACGTGCCCAGGCACCGGGTCCTCGTGAGCGCAGGGAATGCCGCCCCGTGACTCCTCAGGGCCCCTGACTGGAAGGCAACCCGAAGCCCACGGCAGGCAGCCAAGGAGCACACCCCCGAGGGGCGTCCTCAACGCACTGTCTCTGTCCTCAAACCCATCACGAGCATGTCTTGCTGAGGTCCCGCTCGCACCCGGGACCTGGGAGGAGAGGACACACCACCGGCCACTTGCCCTTTCTTCCCCGATACTGAGGCACCTTCCGTGGTCAATCTGCTGCTGATTTATTGATTCTTTGTTTCTTAGCTTTTCTCTTTTAACATTTAATTTTTAAGTCCCTCAAACATGGCGGTAAAATCCACATAACATAGACGTCACCGCTGTGCAGTGCATGATTTGGAGGCAAGGACCATATTCATGGGTTTGCAACCATCCCCTGTACCCACCTGCCAAGATATCTGCAATCCTCCACCAAAAGGAGACTGCCCGTGCCCTCTTCCTCCCGTCCCCCAGCCCCTCGCATCATGAACCTGCTTTCTGCCTCCACGGATTTGCTGATTTGGGGCATTTCCTATCAACGGGGTGGCACACGGTGTGGCCTTGGGTGTCAAGGGTGTCGCTCCTAGAGCATCACGGCCTCAGGGTCCATCCATGGGGCAGGGGGGTTCGGGCTGGGCTCTTTTTCCTGGCTGAGTACTATTCCCCCGGACGGATGGACGCATACATTTACCTGTCCACCTGCTGACAAATGATGAGCATAAACACTTCATTCCGTGGTACTCAGACGCCCTTTTTACATGGTTAATATCAATGATTTTTTTTTAAGATTTTATGTATTTCAGAGAGTTTGCATGAATTGCCAAGGGGCAGAGGGAGAGGGAGAAGCAGGGAGCCCTATGCAGGGCTCCATCCCATGACCCTGGGAATCATGACCTGAGCCGAAGGCAGAGGCTTAACCCACTGAGCCACCCAGGTGCCCCGACAATCTGCATTTTTAACAAGTGCCTCAGCGTTTTATTTTACTTTATTTCATTGTTATTTATTGTATTGTATTGTATTGTATTATTTTACATTTTGTTAATTTATTTTATTTTGTTTTATTTAATTTTATGCATTTTATTTTATATTTTATTTATTTTACTTTCATTCCTTGTATTTTAGTAATTTATTTTATCTTATTGATTTATGTATTTCATTTTATTTTGTTTCGTTTTATTTTATTTTATGCATTTTATTTTATATTTCATTAATTTATTTCATTTTATTTCATTTTATTTATTTCATTGTATTCTATTTTGTTTTGTTTTATTTCATTGTATTTTATTTCATTGTATTGTTTTATTTTATATCTTATTATTTTATATTTTATTTTAACTAATGTTATCTTATTAATTTATTTTATGTCATTTTATTTTGTTTCATTTTATTTTATGCATTTTATTTTATATTTTATTGATTTATTTTATTTTATTTCATTTTATTTATTTCACTGTATTCTATTTTGTTTTGTTTTATTTCATTGTATTGTATTTTATTTTATATTTTATTAACTTATTTTATTTCATTTCATTTTTTTATTTCACTGTATTTTTTTGTATTGTGTCATATCATATCATATCATATCATATCATCATATCCTATTATATCATATTATCTTACATTACTGGACATTTCTGGCGAGTCTGGGTGGTACCTCCAGGAAACCGGCTTTAACCCGTGTCCCCAGACTCACGGGGAAACGTCCTTGTCCATCCTGAGCTGTGCACACAGGGCAGCTTCGTAGGCTCCCAACTGGCCTTGACCGTCCTTGGAGACCTTAGGCTCCCCCTGCCCTCCAGTGCCTCCCCCTACCCCACACTCCCAACCACACTGTGGGGGAAGGACTGGTCTTGGGGCACCGTATCATAAACATCATACACTTCCTTGGGGTCTGAAGAAAACCTTGAGGTCCTTGACCCACCCAAGTCGTAATTCTCCGCTGTGCTCTCTTTCCACTGATAAGGTACCTGTCCCCAGACGACCCTTCTTATCCCTGGGACCAGTCATGGGGCCTCCTGCCCCCTGAGCCGTAGGCTTGGGGTCCTTGCCAGCTCATGGGACGTTCTATATGGGTCCCTTCCCTGTCCCGTGACAAACAGATGCACACTTCATGCCGTATGGGGCAATGCTGCTGGTTCAAACCCTCCCCCTCCCCATGACCTGCATCATTCATTGCCATCTTCAAGGTGTTTCCCCCCCAACCCAGACTTTGAAAGAAGGGAGCCCCGAAAACATTGTCACGGGCTCTCGGGATTCTCATGAGCTCCTTGCCATGTGCACAGAGAGCTGCAGGGATGTCGTGGCCCTTGGGGGGCAGACACAGGGCGGCTCTCATCGCTGTGGTGGACGTCCTGGGTCCTGGGTAGACCTTCTTCTTCTGGTGCAGGTGATTTTACCTACAAGTGCTGTGGTCCTCACACCCTTAAAGGGGCAGGGGTTGCTGGACCACGGTGGCCTCGGGCAGCGAGTGGCTGGTCACCCAAAGTTATCCCGGCACGAATCCCACCCTGCCACACCCCAGCTGCCACGACTGTGCACGGTGCTTTGCAGGTGGAATTCCATTGCGCACCTAAAAATAGGCAGGTGATCCTGGATTGACCTGGTGAGACCTTCGTAAGCCTGAAAGCCATCAGACGCAGAGGGCTGGGTGCCACGGGAGTCACAGAGACTGGGCAGGAGGGGAAACTGTCAGCATTCCAAGAGTGGGGTGTGAGGGGACCTGCTAGGAGCAACATCAAGGCTCTAGGACCAACGGTTTGCCCCCTGTGTGACAGCTGTGCCCCAGAAATAGGGACCTTAGCCCCACAATCGCCAGGACCCCGCTTCCGCTCGGGACCTCCTTGAGGACCGGTTCATGAGATGGGAGTCCCCTCAGACCCTTGCTGGAAGCACCTAGGGAAGCCCGCGGCTATCAGCAATCCCTCCCCAGGTCATGGCTCTAGGAAACTCCTGGGAATATAGACAGTTGGGGGGTGCTGGGGAAAGGAGACGAGGGGTCTTTAGGGTCACCCCAGACATCGGCTGTCCATGGATGACACGCCTGTCCCTCTGTCTTTGTTTCTGGACACTCAGATATCCCACCCTCTCTGCTTCCGGCTGGTGTCCCAGTCCAGACCCTAGATCAGAGGACTCCCACTTGGATCCCTTCAGACCTCACCCAGACCCCAGGCCCCCTGCCGGGGACCCTGCCTGGATTTCGGACCCCTGTCCACAGACCACCCCCCGACTCCGCTCAGACCGTGGACTCCCACTCATGGAGTCGTCCTGCACCAGGAACGGGTGGGCCAGAGCTGCCCATCCCACACACCAGGGAGTGGGACAGGGGCAGAAGATACTGTCACTGTCCCTGATCCTGCTTGTGGGGTGCACGTGACCCAGCAGGGCGGACCCATATTCCCATGTGGCAGGGGATCCTGGAAAGGCTGTTTGGCCTCAGTTTCTCAGAGGGTCGCAAAGGCCAGAAGGAGTCTTCCTAACTCCGCTGGGGGGATGCACCAAGCAGGGGTGGGTCCTTAGTGTCTCAGATCCCCATGAGAAGCCAGTCCCCTGACCTGAGGAAAGGGGTCCAGCTGCGGGCCAGGTGCTGGGGGATGCCGGTAGCCCTGGGCTAGGGGGCCCCCTGCAGTCAGGCCTGGTGGATCCGGGTCCTAGGAGACTGAGTGGGGGGAGATCCTGGAGCTCAGTGGAGAGGTGTGGGATCCTCTGCGTTGGATCTTGGCAGGGGTGGGAGGTCTCGGCTGGTGTTGCGATGGATGCAAATCTGAAACTCACTGGCTGTTACAGTGCGGGGGTGGGGGGGGCATGTGACCTGGGGTCCTGCGCCCTGGCAGGCCTGAAGTTCTTGTGGGGCCAGGTTTAGGTGTCCCTTCAGAGGGTTCTGGGTAGGGGTTGGGGCGGGGACGTGGTTACTCTCAGTGGAAGTCCAATGATCCAAGAAGGGGTCTGCACAGGGTTGGGGGGTGGGGTGGGTTCCAGGGTCTGGGCGGGGACCAGGGCTGGGGTCTTCGACGGGTCCTGGGCGGGGGTGGGAAATCTGGGTGGGGGTCCCTACTCTAGGGACTACTAGGATCACTCCTCCTACTGAAGTCTGGGGTCAGGAGGGGTCAGGAAGGGGTCCCAAGTCGGGGTCCGGGTGCAGGGGAGGAGTCAGTACGCAGGGGTCTGGGGTGGGGGGGGGGGGTCCTCAGCTGGTGTCCGGGGTCAGGGAGGGGTAGGAGCGGGGTCCCCGGGAAGGGTCTGCTTGAGGTTCCAGGGTATTGGCCGGGCGGAAAGGTGTCCATGGGCAGGGTCCAGGGGTCTGGGTGGATCCGGGAGGGGTCTCGGAGTCGGGTCAGTGTTCCGGAAGGGGTTTCGGGGTTGGGGCGGGGTTGGGGAAGGGTCCCTGGGCGGGGTCCGGGGCTGGGGCGGGGTTCGGGGATCTGGGCGGAGTCGAGGAGGGGGTCCCCGGGTTGGGGCCATGGTCGGGGCGTGGTTCCGGGGATCTGGGCGGGGTCGCGAAGGGATCCCCGGGCGGGGTCCGGGGTCGGAGCGGGGTTCCGGGGAGCTGGGCGAGGTCGGGGAGGGGTCCCGGGGTCGGGCCCGGGGTCGGGGCGGAGTTCCGGGGATCGGGGCGGGGTCGGGGAGGGGTCCCGGGGTCGGGCCCGGGGTCGGGGCGGAGTTCCGGGGATCGGGGCGGGGTCGGGGAGGGGTCCCGGGGTCGGGCCCGGGGTCGGGGCGGGGTTCCGGGGGTCTGGGCGGGGTCGGGGAGGGGTCCCGGGGCGCGGTCCGGGGTCGGGGCGGGGTTCCGGGGGCCTGGGCGGGGTCGGGGAGGGGTCCCGGGGCGGGGTCCTGGTTCGCGGCCCCGGGCGAGCAGGCGGGCGGGCGCGGAGGGCGGGCCGCGCGGGCGCGTTTCCGCCGGCCGGTGTCGCGCCGGGTCCCGGGGGCGGGCGGCGGCGGGCGGCGCGGAAGCGGCGTCCGGGCAGCCATGTCGCCTTTGTCTGCGGCGCGGGCGGCCCTGCGGGTCTACGCGGTGGGCGCGGCGGTGATCCTGGCGCAGCTGCTGCGGCGCTGCCGCGGGGGCTTCGCGGAACCAGGTCAGCGGGGCGCGGGCGCGCGGCGGGGGGCAGCGGGCAGGGGACGGGGGGCGGCGGGGGCGTGGGCGACAGCGGGCGGAGGCGCGCTCCTCGCGCGGCGGGGCCCGGGGCGGGGGGCGCGGGCGGGCTGGCGGCGGGGGAGGCGCGCGGCGGGGGCTGGGGAGGCCGAGCGCGCCCCGGGAGCTTCTCGTGCGCGCGCGTCTCGGCTGCCCGCTCGCGCCTGCCCCGGGGCCGGGGTCTGCCGGAAGCCCGCGACCTCGGCCTCCGGGGTCACGGCCGGGCCCGCGCGCGCGCGGCAAGCCTCCCGCGCCCTCCGACCTCGGGCTGTGCGCGCGCCGGCGGGGGTCGTGCGGAGAGCGCGCGCGGGCCGGGAGCGCGACGGGGAAGCCCCGGAGGCGCCCCCCAGCCGGGGGTTAGGCGGCAGCGGCCTTCCCGGAAGGCCTGGCCGCGGCGCCGCGGGGCCCAGCGCGGCCGGCGCACTGGGCGAGCCGGGCCGGTGCTATGGGGACCGCTGCCTGCCGGGAGCCAACTCCGCGCCGCTGCCCGGAACACCGCCGCGCCCTCCCCAGGCCTCGGGGTCGGGACCCGCTCAAGCTCGGGTAAGCCCCGCGGGACCTCCGGCGTGCGCCCTGGGTCTCCACAGACGCATGCCCGGGGCCGCCAAGCCACAATCCCGGAGGCCTTTCTGCGTGCGCGGCTGCGCGGGGACGCACAGGAGCCCTCGTCTGTGGGCGCAGACATGCAGTTTATTTTTAGGTGACAAATAAGTGTTTTCCAAAACAAGGTTTTCCGTGGGAACTGGGGTGGGGAGCTGCCTCGTAGCTATGCGCGTTCCTGCCGGGCCTCCGAGGAGAGCCGCACTCCGAGCGCTGCTTGGGCAGTTGGAGTGTGCGAGGGGGGTCGGCTCGCCTCTGCACACTCTCCCGAGTGGAGCTGCACACGCACCATCTATCCTCGCCAAAATACACCTGACGTTCGGTCAGCGCTGCTGTGAAATGCCCACCTTCACTTACATGTTTCTTTTCTTTTTTGTGTGTGTTTTTCGTTGCCTTTTTTTTTTTTTTTGGATACGTACTGCACGGTCCCATAAGTGCATTTTTTCCTCCCTTACGATTTTTTCATCACATTTTCTCTTCTCCCTTCCTTGTAAGAATGCAGCATCCAGGGTTGACAATACACAAAATCACGTGTGAGTGCACCCTGTGTGTCCTGGGTCAGGTTTCTGGACGACAGCGGGCTTTTCCTGGTTATGTTTTGGGGACCGTCAGAAGTTATAAGCGGATTTTTCAGTGTGTGCCAACCCCCACGTGCTTCCAGGGGTCAACTGTGCCTCTGAATTCCTTTGTCTACCCATTCACGAGGGAGGGGGTCACACTTGGAGAACCTCTGGTCTGAGTAGGAACAAGACATTTCTCAGGGACCCCTACCCTCCCAGACCTCCACCGAGGGAAATGACTCTTTGTTTTTCTTGAGCGGAGCTTTTAACTTGTGTGATAACACTGGAATTTGTGCGGTTTTTTTTTTTCCCCCTTAAAACATATGTATACGTATTAGAAGTGAATGCAGGGTAAGAAGGAGCAGGCATTCCGGGGCTTGGGGACTGGAAAGTCAACATGTGTCTTTTCAATTACCTTGTAAACTGAGGAACAAGGAGAAACCGCCCCAGACCCATAGAGTACCACCGCTTACAGGTACCTGTGCGGTTTGGCTCTGAGACGGGTCTTGTCACCTGCCTGGGACCCGGAACCGGGAGCTTCCTGGCAAGACGGGCTCGATCTGGGAATGGAATTTAGCCTTGCACGTTGTGTCCCTGTGCGGGCACAGCGAACCGTGTGTTTGCAAAACTTGTTTGCCGTGTGTAGACGGGGATGGCGTGCTCTGTTCTTTCTACTTGTTGATTTAAAAGAAACAAAAATCTGTGGAAATACAGAGTCCTCGTGAAGGCATGTGCCAGCCAGAGGAATCCTTCTGGGGGTTCCCGAAGACGATCCTTTATACATAAGGACGGACTTTTCCTTGCTGGCCCTCCGCGAGCCCCAGCCTGTCTGTCGTCTCAGAAATGGTTGTAGATACTGGTGGGAGCGCGTCCCCGCCGTGGGTCTGCTCATGGCCCACATCTCCAAGCGGCAAACCATTGCTTTGCCTTTTAAAGCTTTTCTGATCTGCCTCTCACTGCACTGGGCGTTTGGACAAGAGCCATTGAACTCTGCCCTAGGCTTCCAGCTAAGCAGTAACAAAGACCCAGTTCCCATTTCCAGTTGGAAGTAACTCAACTTTTTTTTTCTTTCTTTCTTCTTCTTTTTTTTTTTTTTTAAATTCCAGGACCAGGAGGATGGTCTTGGACCTTCTAGAAAGGGGACTGTGTAGGGCACCTACGAGGTCTGCTGCCACTTAGATTGTAGGAAGAAAGAAAGAAAGAAGAGTGCAGCTGTCCTAAATGTTAAGATGTCTTATTTTCTTCACATTTGTCCAAAAGCAAGATCCTTTAGAGACTCGGGATGGATGGCCGTGCCTCTTCCGAGACGGTCTGATTTCCAGGTTCTCTGTCTTCTCCAGACTGTATCTAGGTGGCCCACGTGGTGAGGTGTGTCTCTTCATTGTATCTTAAAATACACGAGCTAAGGACCGCATTTTGTATCCGAACGTGACCCCAAAACTCAAGCTCTGGGCTAAGTGCTGCTCTCAGTTGCCCCGATGTGTAGACGCGTGGTGACGTGGGCAGGATCCACAAGGGTCATCCGTTGGAAATGAAACATCTCGATACATCAGTGGGTTCTGAAATGGAGACACTGTTTGGTGTGCTTTTTGGAGCGCAGTTATGATTTTGGAAGGAATTTTCCTTAAAAATTCCATGGGGGGGGTAAAGTGTGAGTGGCTCCGTCGGTGAAACGTCTGCCTTCGACTCAGATCGTGATCCCAGGGTCCTGGGATCGAGTCCCGCATTGGGTTCCGTGCTCAGCGTGGGGTTTGCTTCTCCCTCTCCCTCTGCCTGCTGCTCCCCTGTTGTGCTCTCCTTTTCTCTCAAGTAAATAAATAAAATCCTAAAAACAAATTCCATGGGAAGTAGGCAGGCTCCCTGGTATGGAAAATGGACTCGTTCATGCGTGCTAAACCTATGAAGGCCATACCCACCTCAAACTATGTCAGCCAGCCCACTTACCGAACTATTTTGGGAGGACTCCTAGTTTCCAGACTACAGGGCGTTGGAGCACCTATCCAGAGAAAGTGAATTCTTGTTGCTTTTGTGCACACGTGGACACGGACGGTGTCTCTAGGGAGGTGAAATGGGGGTACTCGAACTTTGTGATTGAGGGTCCCTTTCCTCTCCAAAAAAAGGGGGGACCCCAAACAACCATTTTGTTTAGGCTGCTAGGAATTAAACCAGAAATTTAAAACATATTTAAGATTGTGTTTAAAATAACAAAGACAAGCCACTTGCTTGTAACTACCAGTGACATGGGTTTTTCAGACGCCAAATAATTCCATTCCCCATGACAGAGTTCTCCAAGCCAGAGTAGGGTAGCGAGCCCGGTGGCCCCAGTGGTCTGTGTTTGCTGGCCTCCTGGGATCCATTCAGGCCGAGGGGAAGACGGCAGGCTCTCTGTCCTGCCATGTCTGCCTTCCCTGGGATGCGCAGTTTGGCGTCGTGGGAAGAACCCGGCTGTTTTCGCTGCAAAAGTCAGGACCCCCAGGAAGGCTTTGGGGATGGTTCCCCGGAGGTGCTCCGACCACCCGTCAGGATGAGTGCAGAAAGCCTGCCTTGAAGAAACCTTTACTGGTGACCCTGATTGACGCCACTGGGAGCCAAGTGGTACAGATGGTGGCCGAAAGATGGCCCTGCCCAGTGGCTGTCCAGGGGCTCATGGGAAACATCCCCTCCTTGTCACCTGCTTTCCTGGGGGGCCCCAAAGATTGTGACCTAAGTGATCTGACTGGGCTTGTGGAAGGTGCAGCTTTGGGGGTCCTCTTTCTGCAAATTGTGGCTGTGTCGGATCCCCTCCACCTGTGCCAGAGACCCTGGACCTCGTCTCTCCACTGTCTTCCTGCAGTTGGTCACAGTGACAATGTCCTTTGTCCAGCCCAGGTACCATGATGCCCCTTTATCCTGGGTGTTGTGACGTCTTCCAGGAAGACCTCATGTTGGCCAGCGTGGTAGGGTGTGGCTGTCTGACATGGGAGGCATTTCTGGCATGATGTTGAGGCTCAGTATCTTTTAAGGTTTTACCCTTGTCTTAAGAGTGCTCTGAGTAAGCCTTACCTTAGTACCACTGGCTTAGAAAGTCAAAAATTCATCCTTTCCCAGCTTTGGACACGAGAGTCTGAGATCCAGGTGGGGCAGGGCTACTGAGATCCAGGTGGGGCAGGGCCATGCTCCCTCGAGAAGCTGTAGGAGCGGGTCTTTTCTGCTTTTTTCAGCTTCTTGGAGCTCCTGGTTTGTGTCCACATCCCTCCCATGACCTTATAACATTTCACTTAATCATACCTGGGTCCTATTTCAAATAAGGTTCCATTCACAGGTTCTGCGAGTGCCCGAATTCTGGTAGGGGGCACTCTGTCATCCCCGCTAGACATTGAAATTGCGTTCTGGACATACTCCTGATACTCAGAAAATGCCTGGTTGGTGTTTTTTTTGTTTGTTTGTTTGTTTTTTAACCCCCTGAGCACTGTACAGTGGGTCGGAAAGTTGCAGACTCAACACACACCCTTGAATAGAATCCAGCTGCTGTTCTGGGGGTGTCCCTGCCCTGATCGGTGGCTCCGTGGGACAGAATGAGGGGGCATCAGGGACTGTAGGAACCTTGGGGTTTGGCTTCTAGGTGAACTCCCCTTTGAGAGTCTGTCGATGCTGAAACCGGAGCACAGCAAATGTGTATCTGTGCTCACAGGTATGACTGCCCCCGTGGGCGTTGTCAGAAGCTCCTGGATCAAGATGTCCATTACCATCCCACTAAAGTAACCGATGACGGATGTGCCAAAGATAAAAGGACCACATGCCACGTTCCAAGAGGCATCATTTGGAAAACGTAAAATTTGGGGAGGAAAAAAAAAAAAAAAAAAAGAAAACGTAACATTTGGAGGGAAAAAAAAAAAAAAAAGTTGCCATGCCTCTCAGCCAACTTAAAGACTGCTTTGTCCGAATTAAACCGTTTTTGCTTCTTGGATACCCGGGACCAGCCTCGGGGATGTAGTGCCTCACATGGTTGCTCAGAAGGAGGCTCGAGGTGCTGGTGCTGGTGGGTCCTCCTGGGCTGGCGGTCGAGCTGGGGCACGTAGGCTTCGGCAGGCCGCCTACAGTTTGTTCCCCCCGAAAGTGACCCCGCCTGGCTGGTGGCGAGATGGTGGACGGCCTAGCACAGGAAACGGTAAACAGCGGAGGTGGGCCAGGTGCTGTACAGACTGAGAAACTCAAAGACATGCATGTTTTCAGCCGCGCGGACTCCTGCGCGCATAGGAGTTCAGATGCGCACGTTTTCAGACGCGCGGAGTCGTGCACGCGTAGGAGCTCAGATGCGCACGTTTTCAGACGCGTGGAGTCGTGTGCACATATGAGCTCAGAGGCGCACATTTTCAATGTCGTGGAGTCGTGCGCGCATTGGAGCTCAGATACGCACGTTTTCAGACGCTTGGAGTCGCTGCGCACGCCGCACCTAGGAGTGACCTGCCGCAAAGAGGCGCTCATCTGTCAGAGCGCATCCTCCGCTTTCCAAAGGCCATGCGCACCGGGAAAGGCGGCCCCGTGGGGTCCCTCTGCCCTGCGGCTTGGGAGGAGACAGCTGCTTCGGCATGTGGCGTGCGCTTGGTGCTCGCAGGGCCCCCCCCTGTGCCTGGACCCATTCTCATGCTGTGTTTGTCTTGCTGCTTCTCAGCAGGTGCGCAGGAATGAGTGGAGGCCTCGCAGGCGGGCCGCGGCGCAGAAGCCATGGAGGCGAAAGGCCTGGACCCGTCCCAGACAGACCTCAAGCTAGTGGCCCACCCGCGCGCCAAGAGCAAAGTGTGGAAGTACTTCGGCTTCGACACCAACGCCGAGGGATGCATCTTGCAGTGGAAAAAGATATACTGTCGCATCTGCATGGCCCAGATCGCCTATTCCGGCAACACGTCCAACCTCTCCTATCACCTGGAGAAGAATCACCCGGACGAGTTCTGTGAGTTCGTCAAGAGCAACACGGAGCAGATGCGTGAGGCCTTCGCCACCGCCTTCTCCAAGCTGAAGCCCGAGGCGTCGCAGCTGACCCCACCGGACACGCTGGCTGCCAAGGCCGGCCATGGCCACGAGAGCAAGCGGCAGCAGGAGCTCACGGCTGCCGTCATCGGCCTCATCTGCGAGGGCCTGTATCCCGCGTCCATCGTGGACGAGCCCACGTTCAAAGTGTTGCTGAAGACGGCCGACCCCAGGTACGAGCTGCCCAGCAGGAAATTCTTGTGCAGCAAGGCCATCCCCGAGAAGTACGGCGCCGTCCGCGAGGCCGTCCTCAAGGAGCTCAGCGACGCGTCCTGGTGCGGCATCTCCACGGACATGTGGAGGAGCGAGAACCAGAATCGGGCCTATGTTACTCTGGCCGCCCACTTCCTAGGTGGCGGGGCCCCCGGCTGCCTGTCCGTGGGCTCCCGCTGCCTGAAGACCTTCGAGGTTCCCGAGGACAACACGGCCGAGTCCATCACCAGGGTCCTGTACGAGGCCTTCATCGAGTGGGGCATCAGCGCGAAGGTGTTTGGGGCCACCACGGACTGCGGCAAGGACATCGTGAAGGCGTGCTCCCTGCTGGACATCTCGGTGCAGATGCCCTGCCTGGGCCACACGTTCAACGCGGGCATCCAGCAGGCCCTGCAGCTGCCCAAGCTGGCCGGGCTGCTGGCCCGCTGCCGCAAGCTGGTGGAGTACTTCCAGCAGTCCACGGTGGCCATGTACATGCTCTACGAGAAGCAGAAGCAGCAGAACATGGCGCACTGTATGCTGGTCAGCAACCGCGTGTCCTGGTGGGGTAGCACGCTGGCCATGCTCCAGCGCCTCAAGGAGCAGCAGTTTGTCATTGCGGGCGTGCTGGTGGAGGACAGCAACAACCACCACCTGATGCTGGAGGCCGCCGAGTGGGCCACCATCGAGGGCCTGGTGGAGCTGCTGCAGCCCTTCAAGCAGGTGGCCGAGATGCTGTCGGCCTCCAAGTACCCCACCATCAGCATGGTGAAGCCGCTCTTGCACATGCTGCTGAACACCACGCTGAACATCAAGGAGACCGACTGCAAGGAGCTCAGCATGGCCAAGGAGGTCATCGCCAAGGAGCTGTCCAAGACCTACCAGGAGGCGCCCGAGATCGACATGTTCCTGAACGTGGCCACCTTCCTGGACCCCCGCTATAAGCGCCTGCCCTTCCTGTCCGCCTTCGAGAGGCAGCAGGTGGAGAACAGGGTGGTGGAGGAGGCCAAGGGCCTGCTGGACAAGGTCAAGGACGGCGGCGGCTACCGGGCGGCGGAGGACAAGATGTTCGCGCTGCCCGAGGAGCCGCCGGTGAAGAAGCTGGTGCTGGCGTCCCCGCCGCCGCCCACCAGCGTCATCAACAGCATGCTGGCCGAGATCTTCTGCCAGGCGGGCGGCGTGGAGGACCAGGAGGAGTGGCACGCGCAGGTGGTGGAGGAGCTCAGCAACTTCAAGTCGCAGAAGGTGCTGGGCCTCAACGAGGACCCCCTCAAGTGGTGGTCCGACCGCCTGGCGCTCTTCCCCGTGCTGCCCAAGGTGCTGCAGAAGTATTGGTGCGTGGCGGCCACGCGCGTCTTTCCCGAGCGGCTCTTCGGCACCTCCGCCAACGTGGTCAGCGCCAAGAGGAACAGGCTCGCCCCGGCGCATGTGGACGAGCAGATTTTCCTGTACGAGAACGCGCGCAGCGGCGCGGAGGCCGAGCCCGAGGACGAGGACGAGGGGGAGTGGGGCCTGGACCACGAGCAGGTGTTCCCCCTCGGGGACGCCGTGCACGCCGGCTTCTTTGGGATCAGGGACAGCGGCTTCGTGTAGGTGCCCGTGCGGTGGGGGTGGGTCCCCGTGGCGCTGGCCCCCCGTAGGGTGCTCTGCTGTAAATACCCCCGTGCGCATATGCGTGGGTGGCCTTGCGTGGGGGAGCGAACGCACAGGAGAGAAAGACGGGGCTGCCGCGCCTTCCCTCTGCAAGCCCCCAGCGAAGGGGCAGAAACAGCAAGGGAAAGTTCCAGAAGTCCCCTCGTGCACCTGCTGGCTGCTGATTGCAGATGACAGCTCGGGCAGCCAGCACAGCCAGCAGGGAGAGACGGCCGGAGGGAGGGAGCCCCCTTCCCTTCCTACATAAATAAATTCCACTCCCAAAGCCGTCCTACTCTCCATTGGGGGGTTTGCGGTAAACCCCTGAAAAACATCCAAACTCGCGCATCGTTCCCAGCCCACATGCCTTCCAAAGGCCTTCGCAGACCTGTTGCGCACGTGAGGTCACGTTTACTATCCAGCGGAAGTGCGCGCCTTGCCTTTGGCACGGCCGGGGATGCCACGCTCCAACCCACGTGCCCCGAGTGGAGCAACCACAAGCTTTAGGTTTGGTGCAGAGCGTGAAAGGGGCCGTGGGGACAACGCAGGAAAAGAGGTGTCTTCTGCCTTTTGTACCGTTGCTGCAGTTTGCTCTGTGCCTGTGGTCCTGGTGATGCCGCTGCGCATGGGTCCTGAGCATTCTCGCGCGTGCGTGTGTGTGACTGCAGCTGTGTGTGTGTGTGTATGTGTGTGTATGTGTCCCCAGGATGACCACAAGGTCCCCCGCCCTCGGGAGCCCTGCTTTCCAAAATTACCAGGGACCCAAGTGTGCCGAGGGTGATTTTGATTTTTCCAGGGGGCCACGGACTCTTGCGTTCTGTCTTTTCAGGGCCCCACCACAGGGGCCTGCTGACTTTTAAAACACGGACGATGGGACACTTTCGCCTTGATTTTGGGGTCGCTCCTGCTGCTCGCGGAAACCCCAGCTGCTGGCAACGTTCTGCGTGGCCGAGCACCTCCAAGACTATCACAGACTTTTAAGGAGGCGGATGTGTCCGTGTCCTCGGGGGGCTTACCCCCGTGCTGTCGACCAGGGGCGAGACTTGTATCTTGATGCATCTGACTGGGTTTGAGCCTTCCTCACGGTATCTATTTTTTGTGGGTTTTTTTTTTTCGTTTTTTTCTTATTTAACGCTTTCGAATTTGACTCTTGTTCAATAAACCCAAGAAGCGGATGAGCTCCTAATTGATTGGTCTGATGTGTTTTCATTGTGATGGAAGCCCTTCAGCGAGGAGGGAGGCTTTTGTTGCTTTCTTCAAAGACATTTCCGGGCCACAAAGAGCAGAGTCCATGGTGCTTTCTTCTGGGGTCCTTGGCAATGACAAAGGCTGTGATCCATTCTGGATATTTGCGCATCCCAAAATGTACGTAAATAAAGCCGCCGCTTGGTGACCGGCTGTCTGGTGGACGGCCTTTTGCATTTTCCTTCGTGTGAGTAAGGCCGCCACTTGGTGACGTGACGCAGGGGAGCAGGCCTTTTGCATCTTCCTTCACTGGCTTGTGTTTGCACGGGAATGGTTTTATGAGCCTGGGCCTGTCTGACTGGTGAGCGTGGACCTTTCGTCTTGTATAGGCATCTGGCTGTTGTCCAACTTGTCCTTCCTCCTTTTCACAGGGCACCCCACAGGCAGACACATGGACACGGCACGGTAGTCGGCACCGGCTGACCTCTTCCTGCAGGGAATGGGTTGCCTTGTTGCTAGGCGGGGGCTAAATAAATACTTCCTTTTCACACACAGACACGTGGAGTTGAGAGGGGCCACTTTTCAGCCGTGGTCACTGACATAGCCGATGAGTGACGCTCCCCAGGGAGCATGCCCTTGGCCGCGTCTGGTGGGCACCGAATGTGCCTGTCGCTGACCACGGCTGCTACGCACACAGCCCACAGCCCAGATGCATTCTCCTGTCTAGGTCTGCACCCCGCTTGGCTTCCTCACCTGTGTGGGTCGCCTATGTGGGATTTATGCTCATGTCTTACTCTAAAGCCCTAAGTCTGAGCTGCGTTGTTGTTGTCGTGGGAGTTAATCTGGGGGGCTTCCCGGAGTTGGTTCTTGGGTGCCATGGAGGTTCAGTCCCGCTTAGTGTCATTCTGTGTGACAGGCTTTCAGGACCTGGGGCAGATCTGGTTCCTGTCGTCCCTGAGAAAGGAGGTATTTGTGGCTTCTTGCAGCATGTGGTGCCATCAGGATGTGGCCATGGTCCTGTGACTCTGCACACGGCATGCTACGGACGCCAATCTCCCTTGCACATCTTCCACAAAACGTCCCTGCCCTTCTGACATTGCTCCAACCATCTGCAAACACAAGACCCATTTAGGATTTAGCAGAACAGTTCCTATGAAGCCCGCCATCCTATCCTCTGGGGTCCCAAGGCACACTCATCAGCCCTGTCCTGTTAGATCACGGGCATCTCAGCTGTCTGATAGAGTCCTGTGCCCACACCCCACTTCCCAGGACATGGCCTGATCTGTGGTGTGGACCAGCTCTGCTTGGCAGAAACACAGACCCAGGCTCCCTTGTGGGATCCCATGATTCCAAACCTGCGTCATCCCTGGGTTCCCCGGGTGCCTCTGCCTGTCAGGACCTTGTAGTCTGTTTTTCCAAGGTTGGGTGGGCTCTGTGCAGCCCGTTGGTTGTTTGGTAATGTTGGCCTTCGTTATTCTGGGAGGATTCTCAGAATATCCACTCAGAGCTCAGACCTCTGGTGACAGACAACCTCGAGATGCTCATCCAGCCTCCTAATCCAGGGTGATTTGGCTCCTTGGTTGTCCCAGATGTGCTGCATTCTCGGGGAGACATGGGACGAGGCATGCATTTCGCAGGTGGCAGATAGCACATGCTGAGGAAGGGGCTTCCTGGCAGGAATGGGCCGTTCTCTGTTAGAACCTGTCTGTAGAGCAGGGTGTTTCCTGAGAGTTTTTATTGTGGGGTGAATGGCACCCTTCCTTCTCATCTCAGATGTTCAGAGTTCTGGGAGATGGTGCTTGAGGAGGCTTTTATTCCTGGGAAGGTCATGGCTGGGTTTTCCTGGAAAGGACCCATTGGCTGCACAGCAGGCAGCAAAGATGGTGCCACGTGCACAGTATCGGGGACATCAGCACTGTCCTTTGTGGGCAGCTGGAAATTTCACTGTGATTACATCCCTGCCTAGTGGGTTACGTCCGTAGTAAGCCTTGTGATTCCATGTCTGCGTCAAAGGGATCCCATACATGTATGTATATATCCTGTCTATATTCTCTTTATGTGTATATTCTACCTTCATATAAATTGTCTATGTTTCTGTGTTATCTATCATGTATTTGTTATTTGTCAATCCATCATCCAGCCACCCCTTCTTCCATCCGTCTATCCATCTATCCATCTACTCACCCATTCTTTCACCTGCCCACCCATCCATCCATCTATCCATCCATCCCTCCTTCCCTTTCCATCCATTTATCCATCCATCCAC